TGATGCTCATCGGAAGTCGTTTCGGGAGCCCCCCCCCTCTCATAAGACCGATCCATCGATTGCGATTGTGTTACATGTTTTGACACGTTTTTGATATATGCAAATCGCGTGTCGTCGAGACATCGTTCGAGACGAAGAGACGCAGACACACCGCGCGCGCTACCGTATGACCTCAATGAGGACCGTAAACGGGAACGGCAAATCAGGAAAAAGGGGGGGGGACGATAAAAACTAGGAATATTTGATGAGCTAGCGTTCTGCGGACATCGTTCCGGGCGATCGATGTTCCTTCCCCGCATTTTCCTCCCCTTTGTCTCAAATGAATTTCCTCGCGTGGAGGGGGGGGGGGTGAATATTCCTCTCCCCTTCCTAACACAGAGCCTCTATTTGTTTTTCCCCCCATCTTCTAGTTGTTGCCTAATATTTCAAGGTTACTCCTCGACAATCCATTCATTCGGCTTGCTCCGCTTCTCCTAATGCGATTTGATTACGGTGGTCGGGCGCAAGCCTTTTGTGAATGGACCACAATCAACTTATAACACGGCTTTATGATGGAGGGGGGGGGGTCCCACAAAGAGTCGCCTTTAAAAAAAACGCCCCATACAACTATGATTGAATTCGAGACATTTCAATTGAATGGCGAGCGAATTGAACAAGAAGATGCGAATGAAAAAAAAGAAAAGAAGGAGTTGGAGCGAATTGAGACATTCAATTCATACTCGCCTTCCTCAGCTCCCCCCCTCTCTTCCTCTCCTCTTCTCCTCCTCGATTACTTGACAAAATATACATATCATTGTTCGACCCCCCCCCCAAATCCATTTTTCCAACAAATTGTTGTAAGCCTCCCTTTTAAGGCCATCCATCCCTTTGTGCAGGCGGAGGCATTCAACGTTGCCCTTTTTTTTCTGTCGTTCTTGTTGTTGGAATCCTTCGTTCAAGGTTTTTTTTTTCTCGAGACCCAATGGCAAACTTGGTCTCGAAGCGCAAAAATTTGAGACGGGACATTCTTGCGAATTTTTGTGACCCAAAAAAATTTTTTTAAAGGTGCATGACTCAAAAATCCATTGAGAAATGCCCAACATTTTTTTCTGGACTGGTCTCGTCGCGAAATAATTGTGGATCGCTTTTTGAAGCGCACACGTCAAAACCCAAAAATTTTAAAGGCGCATGAACTCAAAAATTCCAGCAGGAATTTTTAGCGCTTGGGTCTTGACTGGAATTTTTTCGAATTTGAAAATAGCTTGACTATCTGAGATGGGAGGAATCTGAAATTCTCAAAACCTTTTAACACGCGCGCCTCAAATTTAAAGGCGCATGGGTCTTGAATTGGGAAAAACTTGACTATCTGAGAAGACGAGAAAGAATCTCAAAATCACGCGCGTCAAGACCCGAAAATTTTAAAGGCGCATGGCTTTTAGGCTCCTTGTTTTGAGTCCTAACTGGAAATCAGTTTGATTTGAGAAAATATTGACCATCTGTGTCAAGACTCGAAAAATTTAAAGGCACATGGCTTTTAGGCTCCTTGTTTCGAGTCTTAACTGGAAATCAGTTTGATTTGAGAAAATATTGACCATCTGTGTCAAGACCCGAAAAATTTAAAGGCGCATGAAATCAAAATGACAGATGCGAAAAACCACAAAACGCTTTTTTTTGGACGGGTTGGGTTTTTTTTTTTCATTTGCCGTCGTCCAAATTGAGACACCTCGAATACACCCATCCAACGCCGACGACGACCTTTTGGAATGATTTATGGAAAGCCTTGAATCCAACTTTTCCAAAAAAAAAAAGACGCCCCCCCCTATTGAATGTTGCCAGTGATGAGACGCGTGTGCGGCTCCATGTTTGATTTATTCACTAATCCGAACCAACGATTCCTAATTCACTCGCTCATAAATGCAAATTTTACGATCGTCGCGAGTAGTTGTTGCACAACGTTCGGCCCCGCCCCCTCCTCCTCCTCCTCCAACATCAGATCGCTCTCAAATATGGGCCACGCTTGGGCAGCGAGGAGCACCTGCTATATTATCATATTATGTCACGCGTTTGCTAATTGCATTAAATTAGTCAATTTGTTTCCATATTCATAATTCATAGTTTGGCTTGGTAGAAGGGGGGGGGGGGGGGGGGGGAAGTAGGTCCCCCCGCGACAACTACATAGTAGGTGCCTATTTGTTATGTAACTAGGCGATGAGACCCCCCCCCCTCAATTCTTCAGCCAACCATATTCTTGACTTTATACTACTTGTGTGTACATTCATTCAATGTTTGACGACTTGCTATTATGATTATATTAGATGGCGAAAGCAAATGTTGCGATCATCATTCCACACTTTTTTTTTCCCTCAATAGCCAAGTGTACGGTAGACATCGTCGTCGGGCATCCGGGCCGCCCGGGCATGAACAAATTAGGCACATCATACAGTTTTATTAATTCGATTCTGAGGCGCGCCGACGACACAATAGGTGGCAGATGATTGCAATACAACTTCAATCACCGCCAATTCTCAATTTCAATTATAATTTATTTTTCGGGGGGAGGGCATCGTTCGGGTTTCACCATAGTCTGCCCCCCCCCCTCCATCTCATTAACGCCATCTTCGGTGTGGTCGTCATCGTCTTCCCCATTTTAACGACGGTTTCGAAACGAAGTTCGTCGAACCAATAAACCGGCAAAAAGTACGGTCTTCTGAAGACGACGTTCATCATTAAAAACGCGCTCCGCCCACTTTTGCGATGGCGTCGCCGCGAACGCCGCTCGCTCATTGGCTGGCCACGCCCCCACAATTCATTTTTTTTCTGTGCGAGGCGGTGCGACGGCGCATCCGATGCAGTATTACTCCTCATTTTCTTCTTCTTTATTTTCATCATCGAATTTCATTATTATTATTATTATTATTAATAGAATTATTGTCAAATATTAATCTTCATTGTAGGGGCTTCCCTCTTGATTAGATTAGGGTATGGTGAAGCCCTTGGGACCATTCAGGTGTCTAGCTTCTCTTGCACCACCAAACAGCCTCCTAAACCATATAATAATTTGAGGGTCGCGTTTTTGATCAAAGCTCGCCCCCCTGCCAAAAATCGAGCTTCATCGCGCGGCGCAGAGCGCCCGCACAATAATAATAATCATATTAATAATTATATGTTGATCGTTTTATATTGGACCTCGATAATTACACGGCAAGCTCGACGCGAATATCGCTGCATTTGACAGACGTATTCGCGAGCAAAAGAAAAAAGTAGAATTAATTTGCGCGATTGCCTAATTATTTTTGTTTTGTTAATCGATTTGTCTGCAAACACCGACACCTCAAACTACAGTACCACTGGGGGTTGAGAAAAAAACTAATGCAAACCCGTGAGGCGTTCATTTTATGGAAACAATCAGTACGTTTTGCCCATTACTGTTCCAGACGAGACGAAAAAAAAACGTATTTCGGCAAGTCACGCGAAACTCATTTAATCTCCTTCATTGAGCTCAACGAGAAGAAAAAAAAAGGTGAAAAATTCGAGACATTTCTAATCCAAAAACTATTCACCGAAAATCGTGTGGCGATTTCGAAATCGCCTATTTTTTTTCTATGGGTTTTGTAGAGAAAAAATAAATAATAATTAGTCATGCTCATTGTTGTCCACTCGCCCGTCGTCTCCCCATAAAAGGGCGTGTGTGTATGTGTATGCGAGACCCCCTAATTACTAATACTAATATACATATAATATGGCATGTTGAGGTTCGCTTTTTTGATTACTTGATCATCACTTCCTTTGCCTCGCCGCTTTTTTTGTGACACGTCATTCGACCGCCGAGATTCTTTTTCTTCCTCCAACCATATATATTTCTTTTTTTTTTTGATTAAAAAATTGCCTATTTCTGTTTTTCTGATTCATTCTGACGAGTGGGCGGGGCGTGTGATGATGAGCGAGTGAGAGGCGAGAGATTTGTGAAATTTAATAACAAGGAATTTATTTGGGGGGGGGGGCCGACCGGCGTTATTGGAGATTTATTAGGCGATGGGCATGGCGCGTATCGGATTACCAATTATTTGATTGAGCTTCTTATTCTTCTTCGTCGTCTTCATGTTTTTTCCCCTCAGCACCGATAAGGCTCTCGCCTACCTTCTAAGGCTTCTCCCCCCCCTCTGCTGACCGTCCATAAGCTAATCTCCTAATAATAATAATATTTGAATTGCGAGATAGAGAGAGAGGGGGTATTAAAATTGGCGAGAAAAGGCAATTCGTGGAATGATGTGATGAGGAAATCCATATATATATATATATATATATTGTGCAAATGAGCCGCCGGACGGAAATTGCGCTATGACCTATGGGGCCAGCTGATTAGCGTAGCAGGGTCCGCCCAATTTCGCACTAGATGATTAGGCAATTAGGTGGCCTAAGGGGCTCGGGCCTCGTGTGAGCACCTGGCTTCAGCCAACCTCGTTCCACCTGCACATTATGTTTTATTATTATTATTATTATTATTAGCAGCAGCAGTCATGAAACTTTCAAACTATGCCGAGCTCTCCCTCCAAATAGAATGCTTGTTATTATTATTATTCAAACGAATATTTACCTGCCCACCTACACCCCCCCCCTATAATTTATGTCTTTAAAATTTATGCCTTTCGAAACCGAATAATATTAATAATATATTGTACAGTCAGTTCTTTCTCTCTTTCTTTTTGGTTCTGCTGACTGCCCCCCCCCGACGATGTTTTTTTGTGCGGTGTACACATATAGGGCGTTTTCATGAAGCGAGAATTTTAATTAAAACTTGGTATACGACGAACATGGTTGGAAACAATATTGGTTCCGATTCGAATTTCTCCAGCAGCCCCCCCCCCTTGTCCATTTACACCTAGTTAATCTCATTTGCACGCAACGCATTGCCCCATTCCATTCCAATTTATTTGAATGATATGGGCCTCGATTGGCCCGTGGTTGATTTTTCGTTTCTGGAACCGCCGACTTGTCATTCAACAAAACCAATTTCTAGGCTGATGAGTTTGTTCACTCTCGCCGCCGCGGCATCGCCGGACAAGAGCTATTCGGAAGCGTCGGACGAGAAGCCGTACGATCGAAAAGCGTCGAGCGCCAACACCTCATATAGTATTTCGAATCTGCTCGACAAAAAGGAGAGCAGCCCGTCGGCGAGCTCGTCGGCCAGCGAGGACGACACGACGACGCGCTGCGCCAGCACCGACGAGGAGCAGCGGACGCGGACGCCGTCGTCGTGCGACGCGATGCCGGCCTTCTGCACACAATTCATTTTTCCGCCGACGTCGGCCAACAATTCGAATGCGAGCGGCGCGTCGAGCGACGCCGCCAACGCGAATCCGCTAGCGGCGCTGATGGCGTCGGGAGCCGTCGATCCGAGCCAATTGCAAACCTATCTATTCCTGCTATCGCAACAGTTGAACTCGACGGCGGCGGCGGCGGCGGCGACGCGAGCCGCCCAGGAGACTGGTAAGTCAATTTTGACCTTGTTCGATCACCAACCAAGCCATTACCTTTTTCCTCATTTGGCGCCTAGTTGGGTCGAACTTAAACGGAAATCAACTTTGTCGACGCTGCGTCTCCTCATATTCAACGCTATTCGTTTTTTCTTGCGCACGCGCTCCCCCCCAAACAAAACCCATCATCAAAATCGATGCGGGGCGCCAAATCGAGCGTGATAGATAGGTTATACAAATTATGGGTGTTCGATGTCGACTACCGTAATCGCGTCTTCGTCTTATTATTATTGCAATTATGATTGTTATTACAGTAAACCGTTCGGGTTTGAATCCGTTCAGCCTGCTGGCCGCCGGCTTGCCGTCCGGTATGCCGACACTCGGCCGATTGCCGCACCAGATGCAATTGTCGCCGAACTCGATGAGCAGTCTGCAGAAGAAGCAGAGTCGGCCGACGTTCACGGGTCATCAGGTAACGCCGACAACAAGCAACTCAACGATCCCTGCCGTCTATTCCAGATTTATCAACTCGAGCGAAAATTCGAGCAGACGAAATATCTGGCGGGCGCCGATCGCGCCCAACTAGCCCAGGAGCTCAATATGAGCGAGAGTCAAGTCAAGGTAAGAGGGTTCTCCTTTCTCTCTTCCACCCAATTAGATACTGTAGAATTAATTAATAGCTAGGGGGGGGGGTATAATATATGCATTTTTCGCATTTTTTTTCCCGGCGTATGCCCGGCCCGAGTTGATTCGTTCCTCGCGTTCCTCCCAATGAGTCCCCAGAGGCCGGCAGCACGCACGCTCGCGCCCATTGCATTCATAATTTTATTGGGCTTGTCAAACATCTTTGTATGTGCATACAGTAATATATGTATGTCGTGTATGTATATCCACAATAAATAATCATAATGGAACGCGACGACGACGACGGCGGATAAGTGAAATGAGGTGTGTCGGGTCCGACGGAACTTTTCGACATTAATGTCCTTGGACCAACCAAGAAATGATTGAAGATGGTGGAATTGTGTATGAGATGCTTGGGGGGGGGGCGTCATGATTCAGTGCTGTAATTGAATTGTCGAAAAAAAGGAGAGAACCTATACAATTCGTCTCCTCTCCTCTCCAACCAACTCCTATTATGGAAAGTGTCAATAATGTATACCGGACGCATTGATATGATGGGTTTTTATTGCATATGAAAGAGAGAGGTTGGGGGCCAACAATTTTTGGAATGGGTCTCGTGACGAATATTGAGAAGCTTGTAGATATCAATATTAAAGGCACATAACGATTTGATTGGATTCTAGACATATTTAAAGCCACACACATATAGAACATTTCGAATGTCGTTTTCAAAGGTAGATTTTCCGGAAAGCATCTGAAATTCGCGTCGAGACCACTCGAAAAAAAGGCGTTTACTGTGAAAATTGTTCAGGCGATTTTTAAAGGCGCACACGGCTAGAATCTAGGCAGCAGCCATAGAATTCATTGGGTTCATTGTGAAAATCAAGTTTGATCGCGTCGGGACCCTCACAAACACACGAATACTGCAACAAACTAGTCTTATCATTTTTAAAGGCGCAACATATATTTTAAGTGTTAGGACCGAATTTTAAAGGCGCACACGCCCCTAAAATAAACAGGCCAATATTTCGCGTGCAAAGACCATTTATTGCAGGTGTGGTTCCAGAATCGTCGAACCAAGTGGCGAAAAAAAGAAGCTGCCGACAACGCGCTGGTCAAACGCAACGGCTCCGACGACAAATCGCCAATGTCGCTGTCGCCATTCCTCAACGCCACCCTTTAAACCGAGCTCCGCACCCAAGTCGTTCAAAAAAAATGTTCACAATTTTTTTAAAAATTTTTTTGCGATCTAGTTCACACCTTGCCAATTGGAGGAAAACACCCAAATTCCTGTATATAGATATATTTGTTGAGCCCCGTGTTTGTCGACGAATGTCTTTTTTTTTCTTCTTCACCATCCACCAAACACCCTAATTTCTTTTTTTTTTCTAATGCTCTCCGATCTCGCGAACACGCCGACCTATCCCATTATTCTTAAATTCTTTTGATCTACCTTCTTTCTGTTCCTTTGTACGATCGCCCAGCCCCATTTAAGCAGCATCCTAATAATTGTTTGATTAATAATTGCGCGGCTTAATCTTTTTTTTTTTCATTTTCATTCTTTAGTCATTTTGCGGTTTATACAAAAATTTCAACGAATTTCATACAAAACTGACGAATATATACAAAAATTGAGAATCGCATGATCCCGTGTATTTTTTTTGTTTGTTTCATATATATATATATATATTATTTTAATTTAATAATAAATGTTTGAAAATACATCTGCTTATATACATATATCGAGAAGGAATAAAATAAGCAACGAATCGCATTAATAATTTAATAGCTCATCTGATGATGTGATGAAATAATCATGATATGAATAGTACTATTAAAACGACTAATCGGAACGGATTAAAGGAGGATTTTCGCGCGCAAACATTTGTGCACGAATGAGCTCAAATCAAGGCGTTTTTTTTTACGAATTGCAAAAAAAAAAATATTCCGCTAGGCGTCGACTAAAATGCGAGTCCGCAGAGTTTAAACGGTGTGGTTGCACAGGTTTGAAAAGAATTTTAAATATCACTGTAAGGAGATCATCTTGAATTGTGAGACTACGGAATATGGGCAAATTCCACAACAAATTAGAGGAGAGGTCGTAAAACCAAAGCTCGTAAATCTACACTTGGAGTTTTGCGCCGAGACCACTGCCATTGCTGTTTTTTTTTTGGAACGAATCAAAAATAGTCGGATTCTTGCAGCGATTTAATAAAAATCTGTGGCATTGAAAGCTTCGAAAAACGTGGCCGTGGCCGAGTTTTTTCCTACCATCTCAGGTTTTGCGGTTTTTGCAAAATACTCAGCGATTCAATCGGGACGAACAGCGGTTGTTTTTGGGTTTGGGATAACCCGCGGAACAATTTGGGGCAAACACGGGAAACATTGAACTCGGTCAAAACAAAAGTCGTCCACGGTTTAGCCCAAACTCTAAACGGAGGGCAGTTTGTAATTGGAGTGTCGTACTGGAATTATTGAAAATTTTTTAACGTTTACTCAATTTCTATATAATTTTCATCATTATGTAAAGAAAAATTAATTTTAGTTCTAGCGCAGTCATCCACGGTAACGCAACAATTGGAATGAAAAGAAGAAGGCCAACGTTTGAAGAAAATGGTATGTCAAATAATGTTAAATACTCACTGGCAGAAGTGAAAACGATGATTGCGGAACAAAAAATGAATGGTTTTTCGTCAATCAAACAGTAAAAAACCATTTATTTACCATAAAATAATAAAAAACCATTCATTAACCATCGAAAATCGTTCATTCGCGAATTAAAAACCATTCGTTAATGAGACGATTCATTTTCTAAATAATCATTTTTCATTCATTAATAATGTTTTTGCTGTTCATTCATTAACCATTCGACTTCGATCGTTCCACTTCTTCCAGTGTGCCGTAAAATATGAGACTGAAGATATAGCCTAGCAAGCATGGAATAATAAACACATTTTTCTAGAGACAATGCTGAGAAATCTTGGCATACGTGTCACAAGACCAGCGTTCTTCATGGATATGAAGGAAGAATTTTGCAATGAAAACAATCATAATTTCGAAAAGTCGCTGCTAATTCAGCCGCCGTTTATGAAAGACGATTCGAATTGTTCACTGCCAGACTCGGTCAACTACTCAATGAATGATTTGGGGTTCAACACTCAGAATGATGAGATATCGCAACGATATGACGCCATTGCAAAGGTTAATCAATTGCTCAATCCATTTTGTTTATCGAAGTCGTGCATTGAAGCCGTGCTGCTAGCGGCACATTTTATTTGTAGCTATAACTTAACGGTAAAACTAAGCTAAGAGAAAAACTCACGATGCATGATTTTAGATTAATGATTTAAATGAGACAAATGAAAATGTTTTCTTATCGAAGTATAAACCTAGAGTTTCTGTTTTCTGCAACGAATGTCTGGTGTCAATTGGAGCTTCAAATTCTTGTCAAAACAATATCTGTGTAAATTTCAGGTATGAATATAGCACTCCACGAATATAAAATACTTTCAGAAAACATATGAAAAAAGGAACGAAGACAGAAGCTTTAAAAATTGTTTCATACAGTGTTCGCCCACAATTAGAACGAGTTACGAGTAATCAATTTGGTGAATTACTATCAACCCACAGCTACCATCACAGAAATACAGTGGTAATATTTTATTGCAACATTATAATCGTGATATTTTTAATCGAATTTGTTTTATTTTCTTAAGGAAACAATTCGAGATTATTCTTCATTTCACCGATCGCGGTGTTATCATGATAATATCGAAAGTTTCGAGTCTTTTGAGAATAGTCATTTGACTATTCCTATTTCGTTGGCGGTGGACGGGTTTCGACCAGTTAACCATAATAGGTATTCCCCTAAATGTTCTTGTTCCTTTTTGCAATTACTTGAAAATTTTAGAAACGAAATAACACCAATATACGTTCGTTTAGAAGGAGTTGGAAGAAAATCAAAAGAAAAGGTCGATTCTGTTATTCTTGCAGCCTTAATAACAGGACCAAACAGCTTAAATCACACGAATTGTGATATTATCATGAGCAGGTATTAAACTAGTCCGACAAAATGAAGAATGAATATTTTCATATTATATAATTCATATTTAGGCTAATAAATGAACTTGATGAGATTCGATTTGAACCCATGCGTATTGACAATAATAATGAAATCTACTACATCGATTTTCAACCAGCTAAAATGTATTGCGATTTGAAAGTTTGAAATGTACTGCGATTTGAAGCAAACTGAAATATTATTTTAGGCTGCTCGTTTGATGTATACACTTCCGAATTGGCAGAAGCTCGAAGGATGTGCATTATGCACAATTACAGGTACTAGAGTTGGGCGATCAGCGGTTGCTTTTTATTCGAGCGAGAGGTCAGAACCACGTACAAAAGAAGATATTCACCGTCTAATGGAGAGAAACGGCGCTCAATGTAAGTTATACGTTTTTTTTTTAACGCCGAACATTATAGGTTTTTTGTCTCGTATGGTTGGTCCTCAAGACATGGCATTCGATGAATTACACCTGCTTAGTGAAGGTGTTGTTAAAAATACAATAGTAAATCTATTATGTAGCAACCAAATAACATCAAGGTCATCTCTGCCAAAGTTAAGAATTCTGCCGAGAAACGTCGTAAAAATTCAAGAATCGATTTTCAACGCAAAGCTACCACCGGGAATTAATTGTGAGATGGCAGATATCCGAAAACTCTCTTCAGCCACAGGAGCTCAGATTAGACAGGTACTATTTTTTCGCTTCTTTATATGCCTTTAAAAAATTGTTGTGCGGAGAGCTCAGGTGTATTTACTTCATGTATCAAGCGGATCTGCTAAAAACAATTATGTTAATTTATCCAAGCTCTAGAGAGACCACACAGAAATTAAATTATGCGTTATAGACATCAAGGATTCTCTTCAATATATTGTCGCTGTTACCCGTTTACACCGTCGACACCCGCATTTTCTTTTCTGCATTTATCAATTACGTCGAACTCTGTTTGGAGGCCAAAACGGAGATTGACTTACAAAATATGGATGATCTCAGCTCTTTTCTTAAAACAGCAATGGGAACTCTAAATAAGGAGAAATATACGCTTAAAATGCATGTAGGTTACATTCATACCGGAAGGTGGGAAAAAATTTTATAACGCTATCAAGGAAAAATGTGGATATAGTAGTTTTTTGAAAGATATATGTGTTAAATTGGTCTTAAAATGATTTTTTCCGAATACGATTATGATTTTATTATAACTTCAACCATTCTCCTTCAATTTCAGTTGCTCTTTGAACACATGGTTGAAAACATCAGAAGAAATGGAAATTTATCTTCTACTTCTACTTCATATTTCGAAAAATGCCACAATTTAATATCAAAAAATCTTTCGCAATCCAATACATCAATACAAGAACTCGGGAAGCGCTTCCTGTTGAATATTGATACAAGAATAAATAAGAGGTAGGTGCAATTTGATTTTACTCTCATACAATAAATTGTTTAGCGAGGAAAATTTAATTCAATTAGATAATTCTACGACTGCGCTCGAACTGTATAGAATCAGAAATGGCGATGAGAAAGAAGCTCGGATAAAAAAAAATGATTCCTGGATTGATATATATCAACTTATGGTGTATCTTTTGCACAAGAGATTTTCCAAACTAAAGAAATAAAAAATAATTATTCAGAAGCATGCATTCCTCGATTTGCGGAATATGAAGATTGTTCAAACAAGTATACAACGAGAGATCGCGCAGTGTCTTAGAAATTTAATTCCTATTGTAAGTATAGCCGCGTGACTTTAAAAAAAATAATTTTCTAGATAATGGACTCTCCAACAGCGCACCAAAGCTATTCGATTGCGAAACGCCCCGGTCAACGAATGCAAGAAGGGCTGAAACCAGTCCCTGAGGACGTTATTGACGCTATCAGAGGTAATCATCAAAGAGTCAATACCAAATGGAACCTAATTCAGACTTCATTCTGGAAAGCTACGGATATCCAGTAAAATTGCAATTCCCTGGATATTCAGTAGAAGATCTTCAAAATGAAAATGCGAGGTTAGTATATTAACCATTAATCTTTTATTTTACTTTTTTCAGGTTGGCAGCAAGATTGGGAGACAATAAAGCGGAAATAAGTCAACATTATGAGAAGCTGATTATGGATGTGGCAAATATGGTGGACTTTATTTATTTCAAAGCTCACCGAGTTTTGTAAGTTTTTTGTAATACTTTATATATAGAAATAAGCTATATATATTCAGTAATGATCTTCGGAACAAAAAAATTGTGGAAACCCAAGGTCAAAATGGAGTTGTGCGCAAACGATTCGAACAGGATCCAAACGCATTAAAAAGGAAAGAAAAGGTAATAGAAATCACAGTTTTCTAGAGTCATGAAATAACTAAAACTTTTTTTTATTAAGAAAACATCGAACGACTTCCGCCATTCGCCGACACCGATTTCGGATGAAGAAGACGTCGATGAGGATGAAGCCAACAACGTCATTGAACATAACGGTGATTTGCTTTAATCCCAATTTTTTTTGCTCTGCTCATTCGTCGAATCGAATAGAATTCATCTGTTTCGATTCAACGCAATATCTTAAATGATCAATCGATTTCCATTAGAAGTCAATTGGAATGTAGTTCGATTGTGAAACGAGCAATACGAATTTGATTCTAAATTTTTTACATTCGATCATTCATTAGTATTCGACGAATTAGCAGAGTGTCCTTGTTTTTTTTTTTGTTATCCTATATGTTAAATTATTCATGTTTTATTGTAATCTTTCCTCTTTTTTTGTCAACGTTTTTATTTTAAATATCGATATTTGCATTATTTGTTACCTATTGATTTTGGAAAGGTTCGAATAAATATGTTATTTAAATAAAACGCGCATTACCCAATAAAATTTATGAGCTGCTAAAACAAGGGTGATTACAACACTCCGCGCGTACACCCGTCGTTTGGGTTAACCCGCGGAACATTTTGGGACGACCAGTGTGACCCCGAGGGAAGGCCGTTCATCGTTTTTGGGTTCGCCCAAAAACAACCGCTGTTCGTTCCGATTGAATCGCTGAGATCTTACGTGTTTCGCTTCCCGCCAAAACATGATTTTTTCGTTTTTTGGTATCCCGCTAAAAATATTTCTAATAAATATTAAAAGTTTTCATAGCGATTTGATGAGATTTTAAAATTAATTTTATGCGTTACGGTAGTGAAACTCCGCAGTCAATACTACACAAAAATGAATAGATTTTTTAATAGAGCTTCAATAATCTTTTCCGTCTTCCGTGTTCCAGATTCCGGGAAAAATGTATGTTTCGTCATCCGTTTTGATAAAAACTAAGTTTCATGCAGCTTTGGTGCCGAATTTTTTTTTCATCCGATTGGTTTTGAGTTACCAGAGTTGAGCGAAAAACAATTTTTTAAAATTATTTGTACCCCTCAATCATTCAGAAATTTTTATTGCTATTTGAAATAAGAAATTTTTGGTTTCATTCGATCCTTAAATTTTTGTAGGAATAAAAATAAATATTTTAATATAATTTGGAATTGCTAACAAAAAATGGGAAAACGATTCAGATTCCTCATTCTCAACATTTCCAAATAAGACAAACATCAATTTCTACTAAAAACGTTTTATTATTATTAATATTATTAATTTTACAAAAAAAAACCATACAGTATTCGTCATATATACAAACATATTCGAAGTGGTTCGCGATTAATTACATATCGTTTATTCGAGTTTCGTCTTGATCGTCTTGAGAACATTCATGAGCATGTCAATCGTCGAGTCTTGCTTCTCCTCAACCTTCTGCAAGTCAATGTATACTCGTTTTCAAATCGCTGAGTGCGCGCCGAATCATGCACATGCAACAACCAACCTTGTAGCTCCTGTATTTCGCCTTCAAACAGCACACATTCGTCGCACACTGATCGTATTGCGGAAGGCACGAGCATACGGTCGTCGGCACATTCACATACATCACACATGTCGTCGTCAATGGGTACTGTGTGTTTTCAGCCTGCTGCGGCTCGTAGTAGGCGGCGGTTGTTGGGGCTCGTGTGGTGGTGGTGGTAGTGGTTGGTGCCATTGTGGTGGTAGGGGTAGTGGTAGTTGGGATCGGTGTGGTCTAAACATTCAATGAGTTTCCTACCTTGGCTTGATGACTTACAACTGCCGGCTGATTCGGGAACACCTGGGTGTAGTCGATCGGCTCACTTGGGTAAGCATGAGCCTAAACATTCATTATATTAGCTAGAGGGGGTCTCTTTTCAGCAGAAGCATTCAAATAATCGGTTAATTTCATTAATAAGTCTCTCTCATTTTCTAAAGGCTTTCATGCAACCATTATTACCTGTGGGCAACCGCAGACCGCGTTCGGCGTCGAAACCAGTAGCTGCACACAGTTGCACGTGCAACCGCAATAGCCGGACATGGTGTGCGTGACCGGATCGACACAATAGCACGATGGCTGGTCTGTGTGCACAGTGGCGGCGGCCGGATACACCGCCGGCGGCGCCAATGTCACCATTGGTGCAATTGGCGCGGCGGTGGTGGTAGATGGAGTAGTAGTAGTAGTGGTGGTGGGGCTTGCGGTGCTGGTGTAAGTTAACGATGGAAGGGTTCCCGGCACATTGTACGCATCATCATAAGTCTGTGTTATTATCAAATGTGAACATGCTATCCATCATCGACGTCATGCGAATATATTGATACCTGCTGTTGCTGTTGCGGATTGGCGCACTGGCACTGGTATTGCGCGGTTTGCGGACTGCTAATGCTGATCATAATACAATTGCAAGCGCCATTATTTGGTCCCTAAATAACACACACTCATTCGGTACGGGTGCGCAATGCCTCGCTCAATTTCTACCTGTGTATAGGTTGGCACCGTATTCGGCTCACTCCAAATTGGTCGTGGGGTTGTCGTGGTTGTGGTGGAAGTGGTGGTTGGCCTCATCGTGGTGGTGGTGGTGGTAGTGGTGGTTGGTGCCACTGTGGTGGTGGTGGGCAACTAGATGAATAATCACTATGGAAAGAAAACCGACAACACACATGTGTTCAATAAGATAACATTTCGAATTTTAGAACAAAAAAAAATCTCGTACCGGATTTCCGTTTTGATCGCCACACTGACAATTGTACTGCGGCACTCCCTGAATGACGATCTGAATGCAGCCGCATCTCGCTTGTCCTTGTCCAGGCGCGCGCTGCTGAATCGCTGTCAACTGATTGGCAATGTCCGCCGATTGCGGAACATCGTGCATCGCGTTATAGGCCGAGTTCGACGACGCGTCCTGAAGTGAAAACAAAATATAAGAGTCTTCTGTCGAGGATGGCTCTCGTACAGCGGGTCCTTTGGCGCAACTGCAAGTCAAACCACCATTCGGATTCTTCACACATCGGCACTGTTGGCGTTTCGAGCGCACAATGATCGGCTCGTCGGAAGCGGCGAATGTCTAGAATTGCATTTCGTTTAGTTTTTCGTCGATCTCAAACACACCTCAACGACGAGCGCCGCAGCGACGACGAACAAGATGAGTGACGACCAACGGCTCATGATTTAACAAGTTCTGAAATTCAAGAAAATTGCATGATGGCAAATGTCGGCAATGAGTTCATGTGTGATGCTCGTCGAGTTTCGCCGCCGGCTTTTGTAGTCGCCGCTTAGCCTCACGCGGCGCGATTCCATTCATAAAGCGAAGGGGGAGGGGAAGAGGGCGGAGACGGGATTCGCGTGCCCGATGGCAAAGTTGGCTCGGCGGCATACTCTCTTTTTTTTTTGTTGCCCTCTTCCTCTTCCTCTTCCTCCTCTTCCTTGCCTGTATTGTATAGTAAAAGGAGGAGGGCAAACAGCGACGACTGGAACATGCATACGGTTACCGCCGCCGTCGAGACGTCTACCATATCTCGCTCCGCACCACTTGGACCGAATCGCTGTATCGGATTACAAGCTCTTCCGGATATGTGTTGGGGATTTGCGCGAAGACGCCGGAATGAATTGAATGCCAAGAATTTGGGGGGAGGGGGAGGGCATCTGTGGTGTGGAATCTGAAACTTCGAGTTTACGCTTTTCGAACTGAAAATTACGATTCCAGTTTTTAAGATTTTTTCGAGCAAATAAAAAACCAGCACTCTGCGCCGACTGTTACAATCGAAATATGATTTACCACCATGAAAAAGTGCGATGGTCCATAATTAAGTCAAGGTGCTCGTGTTTTTGGGATATTTACACCATCACACCAAAAAACCTTCGCTGAGGTCTTGCCGCGAAACTAAATGTGTAGATTTACGGTTTGAAATTAAAAAAAAGCGATACCTCTCCCATAATTTTCATCGAAAAATTAATTCCAGAATTTCGATATTTTTTTGCGGCGCAATTTGTTCTCTCGTTCTATTATTTACCTCGTTTCGGTGTGCAAATTCGCTAAACAATAGAAATGAATATTGTGCAAAAACAAGCTTTTTTTTTGCTCCCAACTTTGTCTTCTTATTCATAAATGTTTGTTTGGGTGTCGCGCATTTATGCGCGTCTCTTTCTGCTCCACAAACAATTGGGCTCGGCGGTAGTTCAAAGTTTTACACGCGGCGAACAACTGGAATTCGGCGAGAATTAGTTTTAAAAGTAATGAATTACGATCAGGATCAGAATGTGTGATATTTAAGCAAAAAAATCAATTTTTACAATGAAACTAATAAAACAGTCTTCAAAAATTGCCGAATTTTAATTCTTCCGATATTAAATAAATGAAAAAATTTAAAAATTCACAACAAAAAAAAAAAAACAATTTCCATGAGTGGTGCATTTTGTCGTCATAGCAGATGCACTGCATTCACTACAGTAACCAATTTTTTATTCTGATTTTCGATGATCGCCATTTCTCTCGATTGCTTTTTAGACTAGAGTCTAGTCCAACGCACTATACAAATCCTAATAATTCAGCTGACGTCGAGCGAGTCGAACGACAAAAAATTTTGTGATCTCTTCCACACAATTTGAATAAAAACGCCAACTAAAGGAACCAGTAGCTGCCTTGTGCCAGACGCAAACAAATCACACAATTTTCGCGCACAGTTTTTGCCCCCAAAAAGGCTCATGCGCAATAATGTCAATATTGTAGAACATCGCATCAGACATTCGTCATTTTTCTTCTTAACCAAGTGCCAAAGTATTGCTTGTTTGAGATCGACCAACGACGCGCACGCAAATAATCGTCATGTCGGCTGGTTGAACACGTTGTATGCAGTTGAGTTCGTGTTTCACGTTACTTCAAAGACGGCCACTACCAGCCGGACAATTTTTGCATGTGTGACGTTCGCATTGAAATCGACTTGGAGGGAGAAGCAAGCACCCCCCAAGTCAAGAGACCATCTGAATCATTGGCATTTTGGCGCTTCTCTAATTTCTATTGACTTGTTTCGATTGTTTTACGGCCAAAAGACAATTTAAAAAAGTGGGAAGAGTGGCTGAATGGAAAAAAAGAAGTCTTTGATATTGACAATGGGAATTTCGATTGAGACGGAAATGCAAATTGGCTACAAAATCATTTGTTTTAACATTTATTTGTATTTGGCTATCAAGTGGCAATTTTCCGGAAAAAAATTTTCTATTTTAAGCTGAAATTTGTGATAGTGACTCAAAGAAAATCGTCGAAATCATTAAAACACAAAAATTTTGGTTCCACCTTTTGGTCCCTTCAAAAAATAAAAACCTTTGATTTTTTTTTTGTTTGACGAATTCCATTCTGTTCTCGATTTCAAGTTTCTCAGTAAACGAATGACAACATTTTGATCCGAGTTCATCCATTCTTATTTGACGTGACATGCTCACGCATTGTATTTGATTGAGTTGATTCATTTGCGTCGGCGGTAATCCGAGACGCGATTTCGATCATTGTGCTTTGCGTTTTCACCGGAAAACGCGCAATTCTTCAAGTGTTTCAATCTACCAATGATTCAAGATCCGGATTTTATCAGGAAAAAAACTCATTTTCGACAAACTCTTAAAGGAACCATTTAAAGGAAGAGAAAAATATGATGAAAATAGATTTTAAAAAAATATATAAAAATTGGGCATAAATATGTTAAAATTAAACGCTTCAAAATAGTCGTCGGATAAAATGCATAAGGTGTAAACACGCGACATTTATGGAAATTGGTATTTCGTTGAATTTCGAATTGAAACTGAAAATGACATTGCGGACTTGTGCATTTTATTTGACGACAGTACAATCGATTTTCTTCACGACAAATTAGAATTTAAGTTATTTTTTTTATTTTGTCGATTTCTTACCTGTTTTCTTTCATTTTTTTAACTTTAAAATGTTACCTCCCTTTAAAAAAATGTGTTTTTATCGCCTCATGGACTATGGTAACTCGCTCGGTGTATTACATACGACATCTGGAACAATTTCCAACGATTCTGGATTTTGATATAATGCATTACCATTAATACGACCGGATTAACTCAGATAGAATACGTAGACTATAATTCTGGTTCTGAAATAAATTTTTTTTTAACGAATAAACTTTTGAAACCTCAGAATTTCGAAAATGTTCAATATCGCTTTAACACTTAATTGTGAAACCGTGAAATTGAATTCATCCATTCCATATTTGTTGTTTTATTGAAACAGGAAATCACATATTCCGAAACAAGTCGAGCATTTCGTGACAGACCCCCAAATTTCCCACTCTCATTCAATTCGTAGAGCATTTTTTGTATTGTCAACGATTTTCCAAGAATCACACGTTTATGCCAATTAAATCAATGAGTCGCTCTCAGCTAGCCGACAGTTCGTCCAGCTTCTTTCGAGCCGCCTTTGTTCTTGCGCTGCTCGGGAGCCAACTGAAACCCCACCTCGCATGTCAACAATCCTAATCGATCAACAAAATCGTACCATTGTGCTCACTCCGATCGTCTTCGTCTGAATTTTCGTCATCGTCGGATCTTCGCCGCCTTCGCTGCTGCCCTGCGTCTGATTCTCGGGCTTCTTCTCCTTCACCGACGCCTTCTCCGATTGCGTGTTCTCGGTGCGCATTCGGCCCAGCGGCGTCACACCCGCTTTTTTGTTCTGAAATTAGGCGCGTTTCGATTTCAATGGTCCCCTGAAATTTCTCACACGACCGCTCTCCTCAACTCGTATATCTTTCTAGAAAAACAAAATTACAAAAAAAAAATAATATGAATTTTAATTTTCCTCGCTCACTTTTTTAGTTTTTGGTATTTTCATAAGCTCCGTGTTGCTTATCATTTTCGATTTGTTCGATTGATGGTTCGCGTTCGGCACCGACGTCGGCGGCGGCAACGGCGTCGCCCGATCCGGAATCTGATAATCGGCTAGCGGATTGACCTCGTCTTCGGCGAGCAGCGACTCGATCGTCTCGCCCTTCCTTTCGTTCTGCGCCAATTTCAACTTGAGGTCTTTGAACACGTCGTCGTTGCCATCGTCGTCGTCGGTGGCACCGCCGGGCCGATCCATGTTCGATTTGCATTTGGTGCGCGTCGAGTCGTTCTCATCGCGATTCGCCGGATCGCCGGGCGCCCTTTTTGCGCTAGCCGCCGACGGCGTCGCCGGCGACGCGCTGCTCGCTGCTTTCTTGTCTAAACTCTCCAAATTTCGCACGTTTTCACATCCACCCCACTCCCAAAACCATCGGCATCATCATAATTCAATTATCTTACTTTGCTTGCAATTGATTACGCAGCACGAAATAAATGATACGAAGATAATTAGAGTGAAAATCATTAGTTCTTATTGGGACGAATTTAAAAAATGCCCCAATTCGATTCGTATCAGCTGGAAATCCTTGAACGTGAAAATTCAAAATTTTTATCATCGCGGCAAAATGACCGCGATTTGTCGTCGCGGTGTTTGCACCGCTTTTCTCTCAAAACTTGTTTCAAATCGAATTTCGCGTCAAATTTCTGCTCTCCGCAACCAATGGATTTGGTATTTCGTCGGTATTCTACACTTCAGCGACACAATTGCCCCATTTTTATGGACCATATCATGTTTGGTGCGCTTGGTGGCTCCTGGCAAGAAAATCGACGCCATTAAATAGCACCTCGTGTTGCGCAATCTATATCGCGTCTCGCCACACAACAAGGTGATCGTTTTTTTCTTTATTCCAAACATTTTTTAATACAATATATAATTTTAATTGCAAGAAAAAATTTTTTCGATTTCAGACACCGTCTACAAAATGCACCAAAGGTACAGGGTTTTCGATCCACTATCAATTCGAGCGGCACGTTTTCGAAAATTCAATCAATTATTTTTTGTTTCATTTCAGGACTGTTCGGACTATTCAGGCACATCCGTTCAGTACGACGAGCGTACCTACTGTCGCTACATGTCGATTATTACAATGTTCTGGCTTCTCGCCAAAACCTACGTCATATTCGCGTTTTGGCGAATGGTGATATGCTTATTCCAAAATCTCGCACGCGATGACTATATGGCGATTATGAATCGGCGGCAATCATACGACGACAACGATTTCGACGACGATGATGACGGCGGACGCGAAGTTCTATTCATTCATCATATTCAATTAGATAGTTGATTTTATATTGTGATGAATGAAATTAAAAAAAAAGAAAACCCTAGTTTATAGACAACCAACGAAATTTCAATCTAAAGCTTCTAACTATGATACTGTCGGTCAAACTCTCGCCTCATCTCCTTCTCCTCGGCTTTAATTCTCGCCTCCTCTTGCTCCGCTTTGAGTTTCGCAAGAGATTTGGCTCCTTCACGATCCGAAGCGGTAATCTAAATATTTCAATATTACTTCCAAATGACCCACCAAAACCCCAAAGACCCTACCATTCTATTAACTATCCTGCGGACTCTTCCTTCCTTATCAACATGAACATCCAAAGCTCCTTCTTTCGTTATTATCTTCTGCTCTCGTTTCGTGATGAACGATGGGAAGTAGGCCAGAAAATTTGAATCGAGCGTCGATAATCGCCACAAGACCACAACAGCGTCCTCGTTCTCATACACGCATGATCCGATCCACTGAAATCCGCTTTGATTCCTTTATAAAAAGGGGTTCGGAGCGAAAGAAAAACCTCAGTTTTGTTGAATGGCGACAGATATCGATAGTACAATCGAATTTTGGCGATGTGTGACATCAATGCTTGGCGTCCGGTCAAATTGTATTTGAAAATGCGATCCTCGAAGACGACATCGTCATGGCAAATGTCGATGAAGTTGCGCACATTGGATTTCAGGACGAGAGGCGTCTAAAAATTCTATTCACTGAAACTGGGAAATGGACAAAAATTGTTAAAAAGCGGATGAAAAATAATATTTTATATTAAAAAAAATACAATATTGGTCAAATTCCGTTTCAAAAAAGGAAGCGGGAAATTTTTTTAGTTTCCGTTTTCTCCACCAGGCGGCTAAACCGGTCTTTTTTTAAAAGATCCCATAAAACACTTATTTGACGCGATGTGAACAGAATATTGAACATTTTCAATTAATATATACTTTTTCACGAAACAGATTCATCGATATTTTGAATAAACGAAAAAAAATCAAAAGGAGGAGGCGACGTTCACAGAATTTCGTTTTTTTAAATGTGTCTTCGAAAATATTGAGGAATCAGAAAAAAGAAGCTCAAAAAATCACCAAATTCTGTAGAAGCCAGTCAACTTTGAGAAGAATTTCGGTCGGCGGCAACTCGCTTTTGGCGTTCTGGACTTCTTGAATATTCGTTGGCGAAGCGGTGGAAGCCAATCGGACTGGACATACTGAAAAACGCAATTCGTCATTTTTTTAAGTCACTAATTTTTGTATTCGTGCTTAGAGACAACTAGCACAATGAAAAAAATCGCTTCAACGGAAAACTCGTAGAAAAGTTCCTAAAAATGTCATTAAATTGAAAATTTTGAAAAAAAAAACAAAATTTTTCAATGAATGTAAAAGGAAGCTAATTAAATGCATTAAAAACATGTTCTGTTCATAATTTTTTTTTAAAGAAAAACGTTGGTATGCTCCATAACATATCCAAACATTAAAATAATTGTTGAAATTCAATATGAACTTTAAAAAATTAATGTCTCAAATTTCAACTTTTCTGATAATCATTACCATTGCTAAAATATTTCACATTTTCAATGCTCCTATTCGCCGAGTTTGCCGTCAATCTCAATGCCCTTAAAAGTGGCACCGCCCGTTTCAGAGACATCTGAAAATTTCTTGATTTTGTTTCATTGAAAATTACCAAGTATCATTTGATTGACAACAACCGAAAATCTGCATTTTTTTTCTAAAATAAAAATGGCTTCCAAAAATATTTATTTAAAAATCAATGAAAATTATATCAAATAATGCACGTTAAAAAACTGATGCTCAAAATGTTTGAATTCAACAATGCACACGGACAAGAAAGAAGCCATTAATTGATACGGAAGCGCTACATGTAAAAAATTGATAGTAGATCACAGATTTGGACACTAAATGTTGTTTGGCAAATTAATTATGTTCGCGATTATTAACAATTTATACATTCTCAATATCATTTTATTTACAATTCCGGCGTCGATGCCTCCGAAAGGTCCTGTTTCGTCTCCCCAATATTCAAATACTGACATATATGGGCCGGAAGCTTGTCCTGACTAGCCGAAAGCTGATGGAATATGGCTTCAGCGTCCGTTAGGATTTTATCAACATTCAAGTGCATTGAAAGATCATTGACGTGCTAGATATGGTATAAATTCAAAACGTACGGTATAAGAATTGAAACAACAAACCTTGAGTATTTCAGTGAGTCCAAATTTGTTGTCAATGATGTAATTCGTCTGCGAGTCGAGAATTGCGACACAGATAAGAAGCAAGAAGCGAGGGCACGGCTGACCGGTCCAAATAACCTGACTCATTCAATGGTAATGCTCGATTGTTTGCTCAAATGCTCACCTCCCAGAGTTTGCAGCTATCAAGGAACGAGAGTTCGCGTTTGAACCAAACAAGAACCCAACGGAAGCAGAAGTACATGTCGTCGGATTGATGGTTTTCGAGATAATTGGCCAATCTTGGGTTCACAATAAGCATGAGATCTCTCAATTGATTCATTTGGAGTTTTATGTAAGCTTGATCCTTTTCAAAGTTGCGTTGCTACAAGAAAAGAAATTGGCAAAATCAATAAAGTGACAAAAAATACTCACTGTAAGCTCCATGAGCCCAACGAAACACCAGAATGTGTCAACCTCGTCCTTCATTACAAATAATAGGGGAGAAGCGAAATCGCTCATTCCTTGAACGTATCCCAAATCGAAATTGTACATCACATAAGTCATTAGAACATTTTGAAGTAGTTTGAGATTGTTGTTCTCGTCGCCATGGAAAAATGGAACGGTGCGATCGGTTCGGGCGACATCCTTCTCTGAAACGAATCGGATTCATTGAAAGCGATTTGATTGAAGAAAAACACTCACCAACAAGCGACTTTCTCTTCGCGTATTTGTTGAATCTCTTTTCCTGGTCCTCTGTTATCGACATCCATTGCTTCTTCATATTCTCATATTCTGCAGCCAATCGGGCGCGCTTCTTGGCGAAATCGTCGTCCGACTCGTCCCAATTGCGATAACCCAATAGGAATTTCCAAGCTTCTCGTCGAACCTCCGCGTTTAATCCTTAAAATTTCACTCTCGTTTTTTTGGAATAATTCATTCCCTACCTCCACGAAAGACGTTCATCTTCAAATGATGCAATTTCTGCGGGTCGATGGATCCATTAGGAAGCTTGAACGAATTCCAGACGTCTTGTGAAACCGCAGCCTCCCTGTATATCTCGGGACGAGGCGGAAGCTCGAGTTGTGTAACCACTTCAAACTCTCCAGACGCTTCGGAATGCACACGCATTTGCTCGAATTGGCCGTCAGCCAAACGAAACTCTCGCATCAGTCTGATTTGCTCTTCTTGCGAGACCGCATCATTTTCATTCAACACCGTGTTGATCACTTGATCCTGGACGAACGAGGTGATCTTACTGAATCCGGTCATCGCTGTCATATAGGGGTTTTGCATGAATCTCTGGAATCTCTCCTTGAGACAACATTGAAAACTAAAATAAATAAAGGGACTTACTGATAATATATCACCATTTTCGTCAAGCATGCTGACGCTTTTCGCAAGTGCTTCTGCCTTTTGATCAACCACCATAACTAGATTCGCTTCTCTTGCCGATCGCCTCAGTGTGATGTATCGTTGGAGAACATCGATGAACTCCGAAGTTGAAGAATTGCGGAAGTAGAGTGGCACGTAGTTAGTCCCATCACGACATATCAAACGAATCGATGGGAACCCTTTTCCCTTCTTGGGCTCGATATTGTTGAAGCTGCTCAGATCATTGACGTCAATCGAGAATGCGAGTTTGGAGAGCTCCAAGCTCGACATCTTCTCGGCCATCGAATGCGTTGGGCTTCTGCTGGAAATTGTCTCCATATCCCCATTTTCAGAAGCAATCACCCACGAGGCGTCGCCATCTTCGCTTGGAGACCATTCAATGTAAACACCAGATGACTGAACAAAACACAATTTGTTCTCGAGAATTAATTCAACCAACCTTCTCAACAATTGTTAGAACTCCTGGAATGAAGTCGTCGTTGTCATCGGCGAGTTTCGCGGACGCTCCCGGAATCCGTAGAACGACCTGATCGGGAATAATGCTGCGCGACAAATTGCTCACAAGCGAGTCGAGGTTCTCCGCCATTGCACGATTGTTCTCTTCGCGTTTGTTTTTAACGTACTTGTATGCAAGATACGGTAACATTCAACGCATGCAACTGCAAAATTTCGAAATATTTAATATAGATACGTCATTTAGTTTCTCAAATTTCGCAACTTGATTAATTGGATCAATATGAAAACGGATAAGCAAAAAAAAATTATAAGAGATATTGACAGTAATTAATGATGAAATAAGAATTGTAAAAATGCAAAAATTATTCGATTTCATATTTCAATATTGTTATTTATTGTTGCTAGGTTACAAACACAGCTATGATTGTAGAGTCCGAGGCAACTATGAAGCTGGCCGCCTCAAGAAACAATCTATGATGCTTAAGAATGAGAAAAGTGGTAAAGATGTCTGGAAAATGGATATATATTTACGCAGGTCAGCTGATGGGAAAACAAAAAAGTGGGCGGAGCTGGCATTCTGCAACACGTCCGCATGCTTTTTATACAACCCTACCGTGATTCTGAAAAAGCCATGATTAGCCAAATAATCTTAATTATTGCTATTAAAATAATGAGTTTTGGTCTGAAAACGAGTTAAAACATCGATAAATACTTAGAAAAAAATTAGAAAATATGTCTTATACGGTACTCACTTTTGTGATAATTTTTTGTTGATTTTTATATGCGCCTTTAATGGTACGGTAGATATTTTTCTTCAAAAATTATTTTTTTTTTCAATTTTTTGCCACTGCTTTAAAAAATTTTTGTTGTTTTAATTTTTATCTTAGGTTTTAAGTCGATTTATTAATTTTTGAAACATTTAAGAGCAAACAGCCATTTTCAATCATTTTTTGAAAAAAATATTTGTTTTCTTTTTAAGACTTAATTTATTTTCTTCTTTTTAACACCGCTCAAATTCAATTTCTCAACAAATTAAAGCGGAATAAAATGGTTTTCAAACAATGTTTGAGTAAATCATATTGCAAACCTGCTCTATCGTGCATTAGTGGTTCAATCCGACATTTTTTTATTTATGAGCTAAATTTCCTATTAATATACCCAGTATTCCGAATTTCAGCAAATATGCCAACTGTGGGAATAAAGAAGGTCGTCCTCGACAAACATTTCAACAAAGTTTATAGTAAGAAATAATTAAAAATGATATATCCTACTTAATTGATTTCTTTTCAGCCGAAAAGGAGTTTGATGAGCTTTGCTTCGAATATGGTCTTGAATTAGACGAAATTGTATGTTTATTTATCATAGCTCAAATTAAAAAATGAACTTCAGACATCTGAAAAGGCTGCCGTTGAGAAAGAGCGCGGAACGGACGCCGCTGTTGATTTGAACGACCAAGAAGTCTATAAAATCGACATTCCAGCCAATCGCTACGATCTTTTGAGCGTTGAGGGACTTTCTAGAGCAATCCGCATTTTTAAACAAGAGTGATTTTATCAAAATGATTATTTAAAAAAATATATTTCTGCTTAGAATTCCTGCTCCGATATACAAATTTGCACCAAAGCCTGCTGGAGGCTATCAGCAAATCATCGTGAAGAAGGAGACCGCCGCCATTCGCCCATTCGCCGTCGGAGCTGTGCTGCGCGACATCACCTTCGACGCCGATAGCTATGCATCGTTCATCGACCTTCAGGACAAATTGCATCAAAACATTTGCCGAAAACGGACTCTAGTGGCGATTGGGACCCATGATTTGGATACTATTCAAGGGCCATTCGAGTATCGCGCCGAAACACCAAAAGATATCAAATTCAAGCCGCTCAATCAAACCAAAGAATACACCGCCGAAGAATTGATGACATTGTATTCAACGGATAGCCATTTGAAGCCATATCTTCCGATTATTCGAGATCATCCGAGATATCCAGTGATCTACGATAAGAATGGAATTGTCTGCTCGATGCCGCCAATTATCAATGGCGAACACTCGAAAATCACGCTGAATACGAAGAACGTGTTTATCGAAGCGACGGCGACTGACAAACAGAAGGCGTTTGTTGTTCTTGATACCATTGTCACACTGTTCTCGCAATATTGCGCCAAGCCGTTCACCGTTGAACAAGTTGAAGTAATTTATGAGGAAACTCAACAAAAAGAGATCTACCCGGTCAGTTTTCGCCAATAAAATTAGCTATTGATTGATTTCAGCTTCTTTCCTATCGTGAAATGACCGTCGAGACGCCGGAAATCAATACCAAGATTGGAGTTGATCTTGACGATCAGACAATGGCGACACTTCTCAACAAAATGTCGCTGAAAGCGGAAGTTGTTAAGAAGAACACATTGAAGGTAAATTTCAATGAAATTTTTTTCAAAGTTTCAACAATAACTTTTTTTTAGATTGTTGTTCCTCCCACAAGACACGATATTCTACACGCATGCGATATTGCCGAAGACGTTGGCGTTGCTTATGGCTACAACAATCTGACACTACGTCTCCCTGAGGTATTGAATTATTTTAATTATTATTTTCTTCTTCTCTAATATAAAATGATTCATACTTTATTAGTCGAACACCGTTGCTGAAGCTTTCCCAATCAATAAGCTTTGCGATTTGCTGCGAATTGAAATCGCCGCTGCTGGATGGACGGAGGCGCTCAATTTTGCGTTGTGCAGTCGCGACGACATTTCGACGAAACTTCGCCAACCGGACGCATTGAAGCAGGCGGTTCATATCGGAAATCCAAAGACATTGGAGTTTCAGGTGAGCCGGAAATTGTTAGAATGTCTCTAAAACGTGAATACAGGTCGCCCGAACATTCCTTCTCCCGGGATTATTGAAAACGCTGTCATCGAACCGCGATATGCCGCTTCCATTGAAGTTGTTCGAGGTGCAAGACGTCGTCTTGAAGGATTCGCAAAGTGGTATGACGAGCCGAGCTCGAACGAGCCATCGAAATTGCGCATTTTAGACGTTGGCGCGCGAAATGAGCGACGCCTCGCTGCTGTTTACTACAATAAGGCGGCCGGTTTCGAGATTATTCAAGGATTCCTCGATAGAGTTTTGAGAATGCTCAATGTGAATCCTTCAAAAGACGGAAACGGCTATTTCATTGAGGCTGAAGACAGTGAGAATCGAAATTGAAAACGAATTCCAACCAATCATTTTTTAGACGACACATATTTTCCGGGAAGATGCGCCAAAATCACCGGACCAAAAGGGGTTCATCTAGGTTATATTGGTGCTCTCCATCCTGACGTCATCACCGGTTTCGGTCTGACACTTCCATGCGGAGCCGTTGAAATCAATTTGGAGCCATTCTTATAATTATGGTTGTCACAATTCGCGCGTTTATGTTTTGGAAATTTTCTCGTTGTTGGTTAATTAATTTTATTCCGGTTTTCGAATTCTTATAAATTGTTGGTTTTCGTTTTATTCGCGTTTTCTACTGGTCTCGAATGGTACTGATTGCCATTACTCTTATCTTTTCCGATTTGTTTAGTTTTTTTTGTTAAACGCTGTCATTCAGATGTTGAGCGACTGCATCCTCATCATCTGTATCGCTTTTGGTACAGCGTTGGCTGGCGAGGGAATCACGTGGCTTCTGGTCTACCGATCGGAACAGTATAAGCGGCTGAAGGTATGATATGACGGCTATCTAATTGGAATTCCTCCCACCTCACTTAATTTCTAGGCTGACATGGACAAAAAGACGAAGAAGCTCGAGAGGAAGAAGCAGGAAGTCGGAGAGACAACCGATAAGAATTTGAAGAAGAAGCTTGAACGCGAGGAGGAGAAGCTGAAAATGACGAATCGCGACATGTCGATGATTAAAATGAAATCGATGTTCGCTATTGGTGCGTTTCAAAGAGAGTTTTGGCCCCCCCCCCATTTTTTTTATGTTGTTGGTGCTTTGAGAACTGAAAAAATGGGTGTTGCTCGAATTATTGGAATTGTCATGAAAATAGGCAGTTTGAGAGTTTTTGAGTGATGTGATTTGAAACATTTTGTGAAATGTTTTCGAAATGGCAGAATAGCGGATCTTTGATTTTTTGGAAAATTGCACATTTATTCAAAATATACACTGAAATTGCGCGAAAATAAAACATTGAACCAATTTTTGGAATTTTCGTGCTTATCAATTTGAAAAAATTGTCAAGATTTTCAAAAGATAATTCAATTTTTTTAACAGGTTTGGCATTTACTGCGCTCCTCTCGACGTTCAACTCGATTTTCGATGGTCGCGTCGTCGCGAAACTTCCATTCACGCCGATTAGTTTCATTCAAGGATTGTCGCATAGAAGTTTGGTATTGAGAAAAAAAAATCAAGAAATACACATTTTTTCTAATAAAATATTAATAAGTATTCATCATTTTTGTTTTGAATAGGCCGGCGACGACATGACCGAATGCTCGTTCATCTTTCTCTACATTCTCTGCACGATGACGGTTCGTCAGAATCTCCAAAAGGTTGGTGTCTCTTTCGTCTTATTCTCCGCCCCCCCCCCTCTCCTCCTCGCCCCTTCCTCTCCTCAACAAGCGTATATGTAATTTAGATTCTTGGATTCGCGCCGACACGCGCGATGGCCCGTCAGCAGAGCGCCTCGCCATGGGCCGCCCAGCAGTCGCAAATGAGCTATCTCCGCTAAAATCTCGCCATATCGACACTGATCACCAAAAAATTGCGTATTTTTTTTCGAAACTCTAATTCCATTCTGTTTTGTTATTAAGTTTATAATAAGATTTGTGATAGTAATAAAGTTATTGAAGCCTGTTGCTCATGATGCTCTTAGTTTTAATCATCAGTTCTACCCTGAGACCTTCTATTTCAAATTGACTGCGTTTTTTTCGGTCTAATTGGATTTCTAGATGTCGGATGGGAAGAAGACACCGGAGGAGAAGCCGAGTCGGAAGCGGCAGGGATCGCAGCCGATCGGAATTCCGGGCGCTTCGGATGACGGTGCTGGCGGCGGCGCTTCGTCGTCGAACATGCCGCTTTGGGTTGCCGGCGGCTCGCCGGCGAAATTTGTGAGCCATGAGGAGATACTGAAGATGTCGACGGACATGGAGAATCTCGAGCTCATTCACGAGATTGCGATCGATCCGAATTTCAAGATTCCCGACAAGCCGGCGAATCCGATTCAGATGTGTGTCAAGTGAGCGTTTCTGATTGCACCAAGAATTTCGAATGTCGGAGAGTTTTCAGGGAGAACATGCACAAAGCTTATTATAATTCGCTTCGAAAAGATCTCGCAAAAAACCCGCCGGAGTATGAGTTTTGCTTCAATTTCCTCATGGAACTAAAAAATGTAGGGCGACAAAAATGCTCATTAATTATTAATCGATGACAAACGAGGCTATGTTACAGATGATCCTTGAGGATATTCTGACTCAGCAGCACGTTCGCCTGCGCGCTGAAATCAACGCGAATCTTGATGAAGCCACTCTTCGCGACAAATTGGATCAGGACGCGCTTGATATTCATGGCATCATGAAGTATATCATTGATCTACTATCTCGGCTATGCGCTCCTGAGCGCGACGATCTCATTGTGCAGTTGCGTCAAAAAACCGATGTCATCGATAAGTTCCAGTAAGATTGTTGTGTTTATTTTTTTGTCGAAACGGACCTGATTAATCGGATTTCAGAGGGACCATGGATCTTCTTGAGTTGATGAAGAATGATTTGGCGAATTATGAGATATCGAAGAATCGCGCGGCGATTGAGGAATTCAGCGAGAAACGCGAGTATGAGATGTTTCAGAAATTCTTGGCGGATAATCCGAACGGGTGCGATGAGACGAGAAAATGGCTGACGAATGCTTATGACGAATTGGCGGCGGCGAAGGCCGAAGAGCCGACGACGTCGGCGAAACGCGAGAAGAAGAATGAGATTGAGGAGACGGATGAGATTCTGATTGATACGACGAGCCGAGCTTATGTTAAGTAGGGGAATGGTTGATTGGTTGAAGATTTTGGAAGAGCTGAATGATTTCCAGGCTGGTTCAATCGGAGAATCCTGAGCCGTTTCCGGAGACGATGAAGCTTGACAAGAATCGAATGCAAGCGTTTGCTGAGAAGTATTTGCAGATGGCGATTGTGGCCGCGTCGGTGATGGTCACTTGCAATTTGGCTGGAAAAGAGGTCTCGCAGGAGGCGGATTTCAAGAAGACGCTCAAAGAGCACCTGATTGCGATTACGAATCGCATTGATCAAGAGTATGTAAACATTTCTAAAAATTGAGATGATGATGGTTTATTTTTTCAGATCGTTGAACGAGGATCTTGAGAAGATTGGCGAGCAATGTGTGAAGGAGGCGTCGGAGACGGCGAAAAAGCTGAATGTTGCGTGGAGCGATGAGAATGCGTCGATTTTGCGGAAGCAGATCATGAATTTGGCGAATCCCGAGTTTGAAGTTCGCAAATTAGTTGGTAGGTGTAATTTCGCGATTGTATAATACTTGTGTGTTTTTTCTCTCAGAAAAACGAGTTGCCATGTTCGTTGAAGCGATGCTGAACAGCGTTGAGCGATCGCATCGACTTCAACCAGGTCTTTCTGTCATTCAGCACGAGCTTTTCGCGTTCACCGCGAAATTCATACGGATCTGCATTCATAATAGGAAAACATTCCATGATCTCTATCATAGCATTATAATGGAAACGCGAGTTGACCGCGGCGAAACGGCCACTGATCGTTCAATGTGCCGAGAGGCGAGCCCGAGTGAGCCAGGACCGAGTACATCGAATTGACATAACCAACTACATATGGTACAATTGACTACATATTATAACTTATATGTATATTGTAATAATTTATTTTGATTTGCTTTTGCTTTGTTGCCGGAATCTTGTAAGCGTATATCTTGGATTGAGTCGACGACGAAGAAGAACACGAAATAATGATTTTGAGGTAGTAGTAGTAATATTATGAGCATAATCCGCAACTTTTGGTGCAATAAACGCTTCGCTCTTCGATTGTGTAATACGATGAATGACAAAAACCGTTTTTCGCCCACGCCGGGCATCTGGAGTGATTGAATTGTGGTTTATTTGGAGAATTCAGAAGCATGCGAATCGCCGCCGGCCATACCTTGTCCACGAATCGCGGCAGCGTTCGATTTTCGACATTCGCACAAACTCGTGGCACATTCCGCACGTTTTTGCGCATGCTCGTGTCATCATCTGAAAATGTGATTGTCAATTTGACTTAAAATTTTTTGATTTAGAAAATTATATGTATGTTAAATGATCCAAAAAAGAACTCATGCATTCTCAAATTTAAAAAAAGCAAATTTGATTCAATTTGAAATTTTCGACTAGCGAAACGCCAAATCAAATAATAAATATACATTTAAAAATCCTGTTGCGTTGCACTAAAAAAATTTTCCACGCGGGACCCACTGAACGAATTTGGAAAATTTTTCTAAAGAGGCGACACCGTAAAAATTATTAAAAAGAGATCAGTACAGAAAAAAATTTCTTTCAAGAGAAGTTCCATGCGAGACCATCGGGAAATCCAATTCACACCCAAATTCGTGCGCCCATCGAAAATTAAAAAATAGAATTCTTACAATTTTGTATTGCAAATTGTTGCACAACTTTTTGATCTTCGGACATCTCACGGATTGATCGAAACACCTTATTGGAATCGGCGCTTTGGTGGTGGTGGTAGTCGTCGAATTCGAGACCTCTTGTAAAACTGCATAAATTTTTGCGATTTAGAAAAAAAAGTGAATTGCCACCTGCAATCTCGCCGGACCCTTCCTCAAATTCCTCCTTGATTTTCGGCCTATCGTTCATCACATCCAGAAGCGGCTCGTCGCCGATCGCGTTGCTCGCCAACGAGCCATCGGCGAGCAATACGACGAGAGCGACAATTAGCAAAAGTGTGCACCACATTTTTGTCGGCGTTGCCCCCAGCTTGCCAGATTTATAGTACAATTTGTTGACAATTGTATACTGCGCAAATAAATCACCCATGTTTATTTATTCAATAAAATAATGAAAACAAAATCGGCGGGATTTTGCCGGGTTCAACCCGACGGCAGCACAACGTCATATACAGAATTCAGCAGCCTCTTGTATGTTCTAGCCGTGTCGCCGAAGCCCACTTTCAGCCCGTTGCTCATATACGCGATTGTCACGTTGTTGTTGAAGTCGGTTCGAATATTCTGACCGCCGTAGCCGCTGTGACCGTATAATTTCACATCGACCTACAAGAAAAAACAAAACACATGCGATTTCGCGAGACACTCACTCCATTGTGTTTGAACTCGGCGAGCATGAGCCCCTGTCCACGTGGCACCTTCGCACCGCTGATATAATCGTCGCTGACCTCATAATTGCTGAGCATCTCGTCAAGTGTCGATTTCGAAACGATTTGCTCCGTTCTGAATTTCGACGTAAACGTCGGAAAATTGCCAAAAGCCCAATGTCTACCGGAGAAGCTCGAATATTGAAGCCATCGCTCGCGCGGTTCCGATTCCCATTACAGCCGCCTGCTCCATTTGATGATATTCGGGATTGTTGAGCGTCATCGATCCGATGAATCTAAGCCATGGTGTTGTGTTCTCAACCCGCGTCAAGCTTCCATTATTCAATCTATCTAGGATGAATCTGAGAAAAAAAATAAGCAAATCATTTTTTTTGCCAGAAAATTTCAACGAATACCTTTTCAGATTAAAGTCGTTTGGTGAGTACAAAATTTCCGAGATCACATTCCACACGTTGGGATTGAAGATTCGTGCGACACGCGCCTGTTCCGCCAGCGGAAGTCCCAAATAAAAATCAACATCTACAAACAATCAAGAGTGTGCTCGTTAGCACTGTTCAGACACGCCCATTGATGCAATATTTGTGATTGTTACAACGATGATCAATCATTATTAACATTGTGGCTCGCTATGAACTATTGCTTTTTCTATTTGTATTTTTGTTGATTTTATAACTTACTTATATT